AGGAGGGTCCGGGGCCTGGACTCCTGGGTCTGAGGGAGGAGGGTCCGCGGCCTGGACCCCTGGGTCTCTATGGCTGGGGGAACCCAGCTTCTCCGGAGACCCCCTGGAGGGCTTTGGGACGGCCCCCCTGCCGACTCCCATGTTCCCGGAATCCCGTCTCTGCCGCCAGAGCCCCCGAAGATCCACCTGGACTGCTCGGGGAAGACCTCGGATAACTCCATCGTGGTCGTGGCTGGGAACAAGCTGAGGCTGGACGTGGCCATCACGGGGGAGCCCCCTCCTGTGGCCACCTGGCTGAAGGGGGACGAGGTATGTGGGGCTTCCCCTGCGCCCTGACCTCCTGGCCGCTCGGCTCTGCTGGGCGGCTTTAGGCAAGTGGCTTTCCCTCTCTGAGCTGTAAAATGAGGATTGTGATTCCTTCTTCAGAGGGTGCTTTTGAAGATTGGAGATTCAGTTTGTCCATCACAGGGGACTGTCCCAGCACATGGTGGGTGCTCCGTCCATCCATCTCTCCATCCGTCATTCTCCATCCATCCGTCTTCACACTCATCAGTTAATCGATTAATTCACCCACCCATCCACTCATCCAGTATTTAATCCATTTGTCCAGTAGCCAACCCAGTTATCCTGTCCATCCATCCATCCATCCACCCATCCATCCATCCACCCATCCATCCTTCCATCCATCCTTCCTTCCTTCCACTCAACAAATATTTGGACCTTGTATGTTCCAGGCCCTGGGACAGTCCAATGTGTCTGCTCTGGGCTTCAGTTTCCTCTCCTGTAAAAGGGAGAGACTCTGGCTTCATTCATCCCTTCCCTCGGCAAACACCCCCTGAGCTCTCCTTTCTGTGCAGGCACCACGCTGATAGCCACACATCAATCATTGATCACGCAGCCCCCGCCTCCCGGAAGCCCTCGCTCTGGGAGAGGGGCAGACACCCGCCCGGATAGTCAGAGTCCAGGGTGATGGGGCTGAGATACAGGGAGGCACCCGATGCAATGAGAATTCAGGGGATGGGCCGTCACTTTCCCTTGAGGGCATCCAGGAGGGCTTCCTGGAAGAGGCGGCACAGAGGGATGAGAGGAATGAGAACAGTAGAGCAGAGAGATACGTGGGTCAGGACATTGCCTGCAAAGTCTTGGCATGAGCCAGTCTGGTGTTTTCAATAGAGGGCGGGGACGGCCTTGGTAACTGGCCCCCCCCCCCACCCCGACTCCTGGGTCTGAGGGAGGAGGGGCTGACAGGAAGCCGCGGGGAGATTCGAGCAGGGGAGGGGCAGAGGAGGTCTGGTCGGGGAGAGGCGGCCCATGGCCCTCGGGCGCTGTGTCCAGGTTTACTCGGCCAAGGAGGGCCGGATGCGCATCGAGCAGCGCGTGGAGTGCAGCAGCTTTGTGATCGAGAGCGCGGAGCGGGCGGACGAGGGCCGCTACACCATCAAGGTCGCCAACCCCGCTGGCGAGGACGTGGCCTCCATCTTCGTGCGGGTTGTGGGTGAGCAGAGGGAGCCGAAGGGGCTGAGCTTGGGGGTGGCTCCCTGAGGCCGTGAGGAGCCCCCTGACTCTTCTCTCTCCCCCTCCAACCCCAGATGTCCCAGACCCCCCGGAGGCGGTGCGTGTCACCTCAGTCGGAGAGGACTGGGCCATCCTTGTCTGGGATCCGCCCAAGTATGACGGGGGACAACCAGTCACCGGTGAGTGCCTCGTACCAGTTCCCGTGACCTCCGACCTCCCGGTCCCCCTGGTTTCTCTTTGACCTCCCAGAGTCCTTAGCATCCTCCGTGACCCCCCGCCCCCGAGACCTGGTTTCCATCTTTTCAAAAAATATATATTTTTATTGATTTCAGAGAGAGGAAGGGAGAGGGAGAGAGAGAGACTGAAACATCAATGATGAGAGAGAATCATTGATCGGCTGCCCACTGGGGAGGAGCCTGCAACCCGGGCATGTGCCCTTGACGGGAATCAAACCCCGGACTCTTCAGTCCGCAGGCCGATGCTCTATCCATTGAGCCAAACTCCCTAACAACCTCGGAGTCCTCCCTCAGAACAATAGCCTGGGATTTTCTGTGACCCCCTGACCCCCGGATTTATGACCCGTGACCCCATGACTGGTGAACTCTGGCTGCTGGTGACCTTGAGATCAACCCAAAAGTCATGGCCTCAGGCCTCTCTGGGCCACGTGGCCTGTCCCTGTGACCCTCACTGCCCAGCTGGCCCACGACCCCCGCCATGGCCTCTCCATGACCCCGGCGACTCTCCGCTTGGGGTGGGGCAGGGTACCTCCTGGAGCGGAAGAAGAAGGGCTCCCAGCGCTGGATGAAGCTGAACTTCGAGGTCTTCCCGGAGACGACCTACGAGTCCACCAGGATGATCGAGGGCGTCCTGTACGAGATGCGGGTCTTTGCTGTCAATGCCATCGGGGTATCCCAGCCCAGCCTCAACACCAAGCCCTTCATGCCTATCGGTGAGGTCCCCCACCCCCTCACTGGGCCCCTGGCTACCGCTCACCCCTGCCCTGGCTGTCGCTGACCTCTGACCCCACAGAGTCTGCTGGCTTCTGCCCCCTCTCATCCGAGGACTCAGCGCATTGACCCTGAGCCCCGCCCCCGCTCCTGCCCTGTTCCTGGCCTCCGTGGCCCTAGCCCAGGGGTCCTCAAACTACGGCCCGCGGGCCACATGCAAAGACAAATATTGTATTTGTTCCCGTTTTGTTTTTTTTACTTCAAAATAAGATATGTGCCGTGTGCATAGGAATTTGTTCATAGTTTTTTTTTTAAACTATAGTCCGGCCCTCCAACGGTCTGAGGGACAGTGAACTGGCCCCCTGTTTAAAAAGTTTGAGGACCCCTGCCCTAGACTCTGTGCTGCTGCCTGAGTATCTCATTGACCTCTGACCTAGCAGACTAACCCCTGTCTCCGCCCTTGGAGACCTCACTTTTCCTTGATATCTTGTTTTCATTTATTTTCAATTGATTTCAGAGAGGAAGGAAGAGGAAGGGGGAGAGAGAGAGAGAGAGAGATCAATGATGAGAGAGAATCATTGATCGGCTGCCTCCCGCACGCCCCCCACTGGGGATCGAGCCCGCAACCCGGGCACGTGCCCTTGACCAGGAATCGAACTGTGACCTCCTGGTTCATAGGTCGATGTGCATCCACTGACCCACGGCCGGCCGGGATATCTTGTTTTAATTATCGTCGATGACGTGTCCTTGCTTATTGATTTCTGGCCCACTCTCTGACCGGGGACTCCAACTCTGACCCGTGACCCTCCCTGCTGACCCCTGACCCCTTACTTGCCCCGACCGCCCCTTTCCCTGGATCCTTACAGCGCCCACAAGTGAACCCCGGCACCTGACAGTGGAGGACGTGACAGACACCACCACCACCCTCAAGTGGAGGCCCCCAGACAGGATCGGGGCGGGCGGCATCGACGGGTACCTGGTGGAGTACTGCCTGGAGGACTGTGAGTGGCCTGCAGGCCGGGGGGCGGGGCTCCCGGGTCCCGTGGGTGTCTCGTCCCATCTGTCGAGCCTGGTCATAAGTGCGTAGTAACTGTCAGCTGCTGCCAGTTCCGGGCCGGGGAGGGGCCAGGGGCTGAGGAACCGGCACCGCCCTCTCTCCAGCCGAGGAGTGGATCCCCGCGAACACGGAGCCCGTCGAGCGCTGTGGCTTCACCGTCAAGGATCTTCCCACAGGAGCCAGAATCATTTTCCGGGTCGTTGGGGTCAACATCGCAGGGCGCAGCGAGCCGGCCACTCTGGCTCAGCCGGTCACCATCAGGGAGATCGTGGGTGAGCGCCCCTGACCCCTGACCTTGCCCTCCTGCAGACCATGCTAGTGTCTTCTGGCCAGCCCTTCCCAGGCCATCGCTAGGGTCCCCCCCCTACAGTCTCCCGTCCCTCTCTCGAGGGTCCCCCAGCCCAGCACTGACCTCCCTTGGGTTTGTGTCCACAGAGCAACCCAAGATCCGACTCCCCCGCCACCTGCGCCAGACTTTCATCCGCAAAGTCGGGGAGCCCATCAACCTCGTCATCCCCTTCCAGGTGCGTGGCCGGGGTCAGGGGCGGGGGTCAGGGTCAGGGGTCAGGGGCCAGTTCC